GGGGGGGTAAAAAGAATAAATGAAAGTTGTGCGATGAACGATTAAGAATGGTATTTGTATTTAGTGAAATTGTCCGAGCGAGTGAAGTTAGTGAGGGGCGATTGTGTAATCGTAGATGGCGTGGTTGCGGTGGACGAGGAGTACGCGCGCGGGCGGCGCGTGTTTGCGCAGGTGGTGTGCACGTTCCGCTACGGACGCGAGGAGGACGAGGTGATGGGCCTCAACTTCTACAAAGAGTTGTACCTCGCCTCCGAGCAGGTGTACCCTCCGCCCGAGAAGCTGCCTTACGAACCGTCCCGCACACAGGTACCCCGTCCGCCGCCGTCCTACCTTACACATTTGTAAGCGGGTCACAGAGTTTTATATGTAAAATTGATAACGTGCGGTAGGATCGTCTGCTGCGCAAACTGGGGCCGAGCGCGGTACCGTTCCGGTTGTCCGTGCCGGCGGGCGCGCCCGGCTCCGTCACTCTGCAGAACGCGCTCGAGGACGAGGGCGAGCCCTGCGGCGTGCACTACTACCTCAAGCTGTTCGTGGGTGACAGCGAGATCGACCGCTCGCACAGAAGGTACGAACTCAACCGACGAATAGATATTATCACTAAATTGATAAAGAAAGTATGGTATACAAAAAAAAACATTTTTAAGGGATAATTCCGACAATTTTGAACAATCTGTGTGGAGATCACGTACAAAGCATATTTACTGTCAAACAAGTGAGCGAGGGTTATGTAAGGTAGATGCTTGGAAGGTTCCTGTCGTATTTTCATGTGAGGTGTTCATGTTAAAATGCTTGGAAGAAAAAGAATGAAGGATTGAAGTGTAAGTTCTTAAACTGCATATACATAAGTAGTGTCTTGGCCGTATAATAAACATTCAAGTCCAATAATACAATATGATGCAGCAAATCATCCAGGAAAAGATTGAGGCAAAGAGTTGCACAGAGCACAGAGGATTTAGAGCTGCCGTGTAGACAGTAGAAACGGGCACAATGGCCGCCATAGTTAGGCCAAGTTAGGGGATGGCGCAAGAAACAGAAGAAATGATTGCATTGGTTGCGGTGTATTGTGGTACCGACAGGAGCACTGTGGCGCTGGGCATCCGCAAGGTGCAGTTTGCGCCGAGCAAGCCTGGTCCGCAGCCCTGCACCGTCGTGCGCAAGGACTTCGTGCTCTCGCCTGGACAGCTAGAGCTCGAGCTGACGCTGGACAAGCAGGTGCCACACTACCACTGCCGCTTTCACTGCCACTACTGCGGCCGCTGCATGTCATGCATAGTTGACAAGGGACGACAACTCACTTTTACACATTACATTTAATGTTTACTTTTATATGTCGCAATTTGCGAAAAATTACGCATTTTAAAAAGCTTGTTAATTTCTTAACTTTGATGCGGTGGCCTCTCTATACGAATAGCGTTCCATTTTCAAGTCTGTCTCCAGAACGATGTGACAATTGTGTGTATACCCTTTGGTGGAGGCACAACGCGACGGCGAGCCTGCGGATACAATGATAATGTTGGCATGTCTGGCCCACTACAGCTGTACATGCACGGCGAGACGATCGCGGTGAATATCTGCGTGCGCAACCACAGTAACAAGGTGGTGAAGAAGATCAAGGCGTGCGTGCAGCAGGCTGTGGACGTGCTGCTGCTGCAGAACGGCCAGTACCGCAACGTCGTCTGCAGCGTCGAGACGCAGTGAGTGCCAAGCCTCTCGCCCCAGCCGCTCCTCACTCACCCCCGCTCCTGCGCCGCGGAGTAACGCGCATTTGTGCCGCAGGGACGGGTGCCCGCTGCAGCCGGGCGCTAGTCTGCAGAAGGTGCTGGCGCTGACGCCAGCGCTGGGCACGCTGCGCGACCGCCGCGGCATCGCGCTCGATGCCCAGCTCAAGCGACACGACGCCACGCTGGCCTCCACCACACTGTCAGTGTCCACACCGCACACCGCACACCGCAAGATGCACGTTTTAGCGCACTACAAACGCATGTCGTTTTTTATCCCAACATTATTTTATATAATACCTAATAATCTCTATACAATATCATTGTATTCATTTTGTTCGACTCGAATGTATGACGCATATTTTATTAAACATTTTACAGTTATTTATTAACATGACAGATTTCCAGTTAATAAGTAACAATAATAGAAATAAGTACAGCCATTCATTAGTTTACTCTTATAACGTTATTTTTACATTACACCGACCTGAATCAAATTGTTTTTCTGTGTGTGCGGGCGTGGACGTGGACGTGGGCGCGGACACAGGCTGCTGGAGCCTGAGCAACGCGACGCGTTCGGCATCGTGGTGAGCTACAGTGTGAAGGCCAAGCTGTACCTCGGTGCGCTGGGCGGCGAGCTGAGTGCAGAGCTGCCCTTCATCCTCATGCACCCTAAGGTATAAAGAATGTACATAGTACAGTTGGTAAACGAGCGAGTGGTCGTCCAAATTAGCGATGGGACCATTGCCTGTAGACATCTGCAGTGGATTAAAAGAAAGGTTAGCAGATGCACTCATGAGTTATTCTTAAACGACAGAGAGGACGTTCAGCTCCCCCTCCCATCATTTCCTTTTTAAAAAGGGGTGGGAGGGATAAAAGAACTAGAATTGTGACGCGCACTCATCAGAAGAAACGTATAATTACTTTTGTTTCACGCGTGTGTTCCGTATGGTCGCGGAATTGCATTCGATCGGGCGAGCCATTGCTTGTGCGTGTTTCCCTGGGCACTAGTATTGTGTGAGGTGGAGGCGGTGCACACGAGGCACAGGCGATACATGACACTGTGGCGGTTGCTGGTCCGCAGGAGGGGCGCGCGCAGTTGGTGCAGGCGGACAGCCAGGCGGACGTTGAGCTGTTCCGCCAGGACACCGTGCACCACCAGGAGAGCGTCGAGGTGTACTAGACGCCGCGCCGCGCCTCCAACCTTGCGTTCCTCTGGCCGACTTTTTGCGTCTTTTAAACATTTTCAGGGTCGCCACAGGCCACTTTTACAATTTAAAAGTAATTCTTTTCACTACAAGTATGACAATATTACTAATCAAATTAATCTATTATAGGTTTATATACTTATTGTGCTAACTAACCGACATGTCAATTTTCTAGTAATTCTACCCAAGAAAAGTATTTCTACATGCAAACTTTCACCCTTGGAGACTATTAGGGGATGAATTTATAAAATAAATATTTTCTTTGTATTCGCCTTTGTAGTAAAAATATCCGTGTCCCTATGAAGTGTCTGGGCCCCAGCAGTTTAGAGTGCGTTGATAAATCAGTGAATGTGAGACCGGCAGCGCGGCCCTCTTGCTGCTTCCTGCTTCTAGTCGCTCGTGTTAACTTGCTTTTTCAAAGTACATACACGTAGTGAATACAACAATGTTACAACATCTAGAGAGATGCGTTTTTAAGAACTTTTTATTGTATCTAATAATCAGAAAAAAAAATAATAATCGAGCTTGAAGACAGAATAAAAATGCATTTTACGTAGTTCTGGGCGAAGGTATTACTTTATTATGGTACATGTAAAATATATTGTTTGGCAAGATTTGATGATTTTGTATGTATTTATATGATCTTTATTAATTTTAGTAAATAGCGAATTACTTGTTTATAAATTGAGTGTACATATTGAAAACTTTTCAATAACAGCCTTACATTTTATAATTTGTTTCTTATTAAAAATGCCAGAAATTTAAATTACCTACGTATGTATATTGGTTTATTCTTGAGCAAAAGTAAAGCGAGTTGCGCCCTATGTCTAATATTTTATCTCGTTGACTTTCGAGGCAAACTGGTGGTATGCGTTACCTCACAAACGGTTGCCTTTTATCCAAATAATATTAAAGTTATAATAAAATAAAGCAGTCTCGGCCTAAGGTTCGTGTCGGTATACGACATAGGCTGCATCGATACTACGGAATGTAGCTGAATGAGTGAGGAGTTGTGCCGACTGCTGGCAGACGTCGGCGTCTCACCCGCAGCCTCAGGAGCCGCCACTCTACACCAGCCTCGGCCGCGCCGTGTCATCATATACAGAAATGTGACCGTTTATATGCTATTTATATAATATAATATATGACTAAGATGTTTATCAATGTATTATGTACTCATAAAGCATAAAATTGTATCGCATTTGTTGTTTTATTTTGTGACTTAAAAATGTTAAAGTCGCGCTGCCGCATACACATACATATACCCATACATACAAATGGAAAAATAAAAATAATACAATATGTAGAAATACATAATAATGCAAAGAAAAAACACATCAGCTTGACGATTTCCAATTCAACGCATAGTAATTAGCGCTCCTCGCCTCGCCACATCCACCCCCGCCCCCTGCCCCCGCCCCCGCCGCACACTCCGTGTCCCCCATGCGTCCCCTTTGCGTCACGAGTTCCAATAATTTAACGAAAACAGATGAAAAATTAATTGGGCCATCGCCAGTTTGCCAAACTGAAGGATTCATAGAGTACGGAGTGAGCACAACAAAAATTGAGTAAAACAAAATAATACTGCGGCTATTTGTTCGGGAACAGAACTGTGCGCGTGTGCGTGTGTGTGTGCGTGTGCGTGTGTGTGTGGGTGTGTGTGTGGGTGTGTGATGGCGATGAGCGGCTAGAGATGTTCAGATTTTGCTAGCAAAAAGATTGTTAGGAGAAGGAAGTAGGAGAAACATCGGACAAATTAATTTGGATAAGAAAGCTGAACTTGACGATGTGTGACGCTGGGGAAGCGGACGCGTCGCTCCGCTCGGCAACTCTATCTCCGGGTCTATACTAATATTAAAACAATTATGATGATAACGTCTATTTATTGTGGTCGCGGCTGAAAATCGATTAGAGAATCGCTTAGAATAATTTTACTTTCACAGAGCGGTGTGCAGATAAAATATAATTGCATTCATTATCCCTCTCTCCGGTTGATCCCGGAGACGTCGGATCAATTAGGCTTTAGCTGTAATGCCTATTCAATTAAAGAATATTGCGTAATCGGCGAATTGTGTGCACTTTGTGGTCATTAGTTGTTACTTCATTTTCACAAGTTATGAATAATGAACATGTAGAAATATTTATTTATTTATTTATTTATTTATTTATTTATTTAAAAACTGCATAGCATCATTACAGTACACAACCAATTTGACACTATACACACTTTACATAACAGTTTACACGATAACATATTTTATAATAACAGTAAATAACATATAACAATGATAAATAAAAAGAAAAAAAATACATATAATACAGTGCAAGAATATATAAACGCGTAACTAAACTGATGTTTATATATTGATATATTCAAACGTCTTCCACACATCTGTACGCAGCCTCTGTGAATTTCGACTCGCTGCAACTAAATAGATCTATATCTCTAGATATGATATTGAGAAGCCGTATAGCCCGCACTATAGAAGCATTTTCCAATAACTTCGTCCTAGCGGTGGGCTCGAGAAACAATGGCGGGCGGCGGCGCACCTGAACCACGCAGCCGCAGCGCTGCAAGCACGGCTGGCTGGCACACCGCGCCGCGCAGGACGCGCCATACGCCGCGCACGAGGGCCACTTCCCTACGCACTCGCAACGTGCTGTATCCGACCATGCCATTCACAAATAAACTCGGGTACATTAACGGGAAGCTAGGATAAACTCCGTACTGTTTGTAATACAGGAACCGCGTAAACTTATTTTGAATTCTTTCTACCATCAGACTATATTTTTTTTCATGGGGACTCCAAATGGAACTACTCGTTTCTAGATGACTCCTAACTAATGCGTTATATAAAACTTTTATTACCAGCGCATTTTCAAAATTCTTACATTGCCTAATAATAAAACCGAGATTTCTAAACGATTTCCTACAGATATTCGCAATGTGGTTTCGGAAGTTCAATTCCTCGACCATCTCGACTCCCAAATCACGGACGTGAGATACGCGCGGGACGAGGGTCGTATCCAGCACGTAGGGATGGTGCAGTGGCGCGCGCGCTCGACTATACGACATCACACAGCACTTGTTCACGTTGAAGAACAACTTGTTGTTGTCCTTACTCCACTGCAACACGCTGTTAATGTCCCGCTGCAATCGCAAGCAGTCGTCACCATTTTTTATAACTAAAAAAAGTTTTAAATCGTCCGCATACAATAAACACTGTGCGTGATTTACTATTGACGGAAGGTCATTAATCATTAAAATAAACTCTAACGGACCGAGATTACTGCCTTGACTTATTCCGGAATAAGTATAATATGGCGCAGAAAAGTAACCCTCGTACTCGACGTACTGTCTGCGCTCTTTTAGGTAATTAGCAAAAAAGTTTAGTAAACTGGGAGTGAACCCAAACGCAGCAAATTTAATTAATAATATATCGTAAATATCTTTATTACAGTCCCGCACCCCCCTCTTCCAACTCAATATATAACATTATAGTATTATGTTCGCGATTGATAACGCAAATAGATAGTTTCGCTGAAGGCCGAAAGACGTTTGGCTGATATTTTGTAAAGGCCGATTCTGGCGAACAATGTACATATATATGAGTATAAAAAGTAATATGAGTGAGTGGGCGACATTTTGCGGCCGTGGCCGGAATGTGTAATCCAAACCTGGTGACCATTTGTTACCGTCCCGGCGAGTCCCGCGGAGCCGGCCCTGGCACGGCAGCTCTCCCGCCGCCACGGACACCATCTACCTCGTTTATCAAATAAATACCTGATTAATTATTAAAAGGGATTGTTTTTTCGTTTGAAAATTCTACTCTGAAATAAACTTTGGAAAGTAGCATAGAGAGAGAGAATAAAGGTTTGTGTTTTTAGACAAAAGGGCCGCGCCGCAGATTTCGTGTTAATTAGTGAAGATCGAGCGAAATGTTTACCTTACCTTGTTAAGGGCGTTTGTTAGAGTTCAGTGAAATAATTAACCCAAGCCATTAATAAATCGAATATAATACGAAACTCATTCGCGACCAAAGTCAATTCCAATGAGGTGGCAGCCCTTGATGTCATCGTAGATCTCACTCGTAGTCCCGCGCCCCATGCCCCGCGCCCCGCGTTTCGCGCCCCTCGGCCTGCGCACAAGCAATACAACTTAAATCATCGGATTGTATGATTGAATAGAACATTACGCTGGTATACCGTAACTTCGTATTAGTTGTTGCACTTCATGTGTCACGGGAATGTGGCACTTGTGTCGGTGGGTCAGGGCTCACGTTGGTTCGCGCGGCGTCGCGCCTGTCCCGCAATCAAGATGTATTGAGAGTCGATTTAGGGACGCCTCTGTTTGCTTGTGTAGGTCGGACGTCCGCTTGCGCTTTGGAGCTGATCAATGCTTTATTGAGCATTGATCACTATTGCTGTTAAATAAGTGTCGCAGATTGTGCGATCGCTTTCTGGAACATATTAATTGATATTAAGAGATTAGTTAACTTATGAAATACACAACAAAATTTCTTTTGAAACTAGTTTAGTGTGTTTGGTGGTTCGAGTCGCTTTGTTGCAAAATGAGTCAGGAGCCGGCGCAAGCTGACAGCCTTCCTGTTCTCCTGGACGTTTGTTTGAGTCCGCGTCCCTCACCAGGAGACATCGACATCTCGACACATTTGATCATTGTGTTTTTCGTTCCCTATTTTTACTTGTAAAATGAAATTTTGTTTGCTCGTTTCTTTTTGTTTCACATAGTCTGGCAACCTGACTGACCAGCTCACGGACAGCTCGCTCGCTCAGTCACGTTGCTGCTACGTGTTATCTCATCTGAAATTATTCTTGGCCATAAGGAGTTACTTTCCAATTAGCCAATATTTAATTTTAGTTTTTAAAAAATAGTTTAAATGTGCTTTTAATTGATGCGAATTTGTTACGTTATTCTATTTTGTCTAGTCCAACACTCAAAATAACCATAAGGAGAATTGCAACAAAATACAAAAAAAAAGCCGCTTGCAGTACAATAAAATAAGCAAGTGAAATAAAACGCTTTGCATACTGTGCAGCGCTACAAATTAATTGGATCGGTTTCCTTTAAATTACAGAGATTTACTGAGCACAGCGCTTCAAGCCGCTTTATTGAATATCTGCTAACTGTAACAATACTTACCTTAAACCGTCATGTGAAAATGAATTTAAAGGTTGACGCTTTCCATGCCGCGGCACGAACACGGCACGAACATTGCTAAATTAATGATAGTTACAATCTGATCGAAGTTCAAATTCGTATGCATATTTTTCGACTCTCATTGAACTTAAGTAGTTAAAACATAACAAAGTACTAAATTGATTTTTACGTTGATTCCGGTAATACTAAAATTTGTGAGTTAAAATATAGCTCTGATTTCAGCGGAGGGCATCCGACAATGAGCAGCCTGCAAAGTAGTACATAACTGACAGCGGCGCGCAGGTGACTTAGGGTTTATCCAATCTATAGGTAGGTATAGGACCCCACCATGTAACAGTGAACATTTTTGGAACTTTGGAATTTCATATGTAGGTACATATGTAATATA